GCACAAGTGGAATGCAGGACCCTGTCCAGAGAAGCAGTGACGCCAGAGATGGAGGCAGAGATGATGACATGGAGAAAGGGAGCAGCTGAGGACTCTAGATTCATGGAAAGAGAGGGACTGAGAGCTGGCAGCCAGGAGGCAGGCTTGCACAATGTGCCCTTTGGTGGTGTAAATTATTTTATATGCCTGAGTGTTTAAAAAAAAAAAAGGTGCTAAAATGAATACAGAGAAATACTGTTAACTGATGGTACATGGAGTGGATTATAATCATTGTAATGAGACAAAGTGTATGATTTGTTGAATGTAAAACTAATGACCAGCCAATAAACTTTCACTCAACTCACAATAAAAACTTTAAAATTTTACTTGCATGTGATAATAATGTTGCTTCAGACCTTCCACGTTACACTGGAGCTGCATTCTTTGGAATGGGCAAAAATATGGATTGTTCCAGTCGATTGACAAGGTATATTTCTTCCAAATTTCTTGGCATTAGTGAATGAATGTCTCCTGTGCTTCATTCTTATCTCAGTTGGTATTCTGTCAATTCCTGGAGTCCCATTTCTCCCTAATGCCATGAGTGAAGCTTGAACTTACACCTTCAGAATCATTGGTTCTTGATTATGTTACCTCCTGAGATGATCGAACATCAAATAAATATTTTCAGAACAGTGTCAAAAAAAAAAAAAATCGTTACTGATGATGAGACAGATTCATCACTACGTGCCTTAGAGTAATACATCCTCATTCACCAATCAAGAAAAAGTTCAAAAGTCAACTCAAGGGTCAATATTGGAACACTATCAAAAAAAAAGGTTCAACAATCAACAGTACTTGTTACCATAAGATACTCACTGAAGAACTGAAGTCTAAACTTTTGATTAAATGAAGAGGACTATTATCCAAGGGCATTGTGATCTTGCATGACGCACCTGTGCCCACACTGTTGACACTTTGCAAAAATTTTGTTTTGAGGTGTTAAAGCATCCTCTTTATAATCCTAGTCTGGCTGCATCAGATGTTCACCTGTTTGGTCCCCTGAAAACAGCCCTTCGAGGACAAAGATTCACTTCTGATGAAGAAGTAAAGACAGCGGTGCATTTGTGGCTTACAGCTCAGCCTAAAACATTTTTTAGTAAAGGAATATGAAAGCTTGTTGCAGATGGACAAAGTATATTGAAAAGCAAGGATTGTGTTGAAAAATGATGTACTTGTCTTTTCTAAAACTTGATTAAAATTAATTTTACAGGCAGAATGTAGATAATTTTTTACTCACCATCATAGTGAGATGTATTATGAAATAGCTTGGGATAGAAGTTATGTTCTTATGAGGGGGCTTAAGTAAGTTTGTGGGAAAATAGAGGTAAAAGAAAATGGAATTTTTCCATGAACTTTTTGAAGCCCCTTTGTATGGTGGGTGATTTCAGATTATACCCCTAGTCCTGACCCTTCCCCGTACCTGCACCCCAGTGAATGTCTGTACTTTGCTCTTCTGTAAGGGAAGTATCTTAGATAAAATGGGAAGTACTGTCCTTTGGAACCTTTAGACTAAGTTCAAGTGTTATCTAAACCCAAATTTTGAGTAGTACATATTACAGTCTTTCTTGCTGAAAGGAGCCATAGTAGCAAAGTGATGAAGAGCTTAGCTACTAACTGAAATGTTGGCTGTTCAAATCCACCAGCTTCTCTGAAGGAGAAAGACGTGGCAGTCTATTTCTGTAAAGATTACAGCCTTGCAAACCCTGTGGGGCAGCATTACTCTGTCCTACATAGTGGTTACGAATCGGGCTGCGAACCTCAGGGTCAGCAGTTCGAAACTACCAGCTGTTCTGTGGGAGAAAGATGAGGCTTTCTGCTCCCGTACAGATTTACAGCTTCGGAAACCCTGTACAGGGTCGCTATGCGTCAGAACCAACTCCATGGCATATAACAACAACAAACAGGGTCACTATGAGTCAGAATCAACAGCACATAACATTCTTACTTGTTCTAGAAACTGAGGAATGCTAACAGTAGTGAACAAGAGACAAAAATCCCTTCCCTCCTGAAACTTGGAATGTATGGCACAGGGACAGACAACAAGTAAACAAATAATTAAAATACGTAGTATGCCAGATGGCAGTGAGGTCAATGGAAACAAAAATGTAACCAGGCTAGGTAGTTCTGGAGTGGGTGGATAGTAACTTTAAAAATAGGTTGATCATGGAAGAACTGCCTAAGAAGATAATATTATCACATTAGATCACATCGTGGGAGATCATCACACAGCTGCCAAACTATTGACAATCTTGGTCCAGTCAAACTGACACATATTTTTTGGGAACACAATTCAACCCATGACTTTCCATCTTTTGGTCCCCCAAATATGTGTCCTTGCCACTTGGTATCATCCTCAGAATCTTCCAAGTCCAAAATCAAACCTGTGGCAAAATTTCTCTTCATCGATGAATCTGGAATACAGATTACCTGCTTCCAAAGTCCCATGGTGGAACAGGCTACAGGTAGACATTTCCATTACATATGGGAATAATTGGAGGGAAAGAAGGGATAACAGGCACCAAGCAAATTAAAAACCTAGCAGAACAACTTATATTAGCTCTCAAGACTTGAAAATAATCCTCTGCTCTCTGAGACCATCTAGGCAATGGCCCTTCCTTCCAGACTCTGCATTCTGGGTAGAGGCCTCTCAACCCTGGGCTTCAGCTCTGCCTTCCAAGCCCACTGGATGACAACTCTGCTCCCTTGACTTTGGGCAGCCCTAAATGGTACATCTGAATGGTGACCCCAGCCTTTCAGCCCCAACAGACTCCATCATTCTGCACCATTGGGCATAGCAGCCCCACCTCGTTATCTTTGGTCAGAGGTCCCATCTTAAAGGTAGCCCCACACTGCAGAACTAAGTTGATGAAGAAGCCAACTCCTTGAAACTAGGAAACTGTGGTCCCACCCTTGGGAACCCAGAGGTCATGGTTCTACTCCTTGAGAGTCTGGAGGTCATTGCCCTACTACCTTCTGAGACTGAGGCAGCTCTGCTTCTATTCTCCTCGTCTTCAGCTTTTGCTTCCTAGTTCCATGGTCTCTAGAAGAGGACAGCCTGGCCTCTGCTCTGCTCCAGCAAGTGTGATTTAGCTCTACTGATAAGAGCCTAGAGGCAACCTACTTCACCAGGAAGCCTCCAATGATTTGGGGGATTTTTTTTTCTTCTCTATAAAAGAGGTGAGGCCTTAGGTTAAGAACCTCCAGAGGACACGTATTTTCTGTATCTTTTTTTTTTTTTTAAGTTTTTATTGTGATTTGAGTGAAAGTTTATATGGCAGATCATCAGTTTTTACATTCAACAAATCATATACTTTGTTTCATTAAAGTGATTATAATGCCCTCCATGTGCCATCAGTTAACAGTACTTCTCTCTATTCACTTTAGCTCTTTTTTTTTTTAAACACTCAGGCATATATAATAATTTAAACCACCAAAGGGCACATTGTGCCGCCAACTCTTAGTCTCTCTCTTCTCATGAATCTAGAGTCCTCAACTGTTCCCTTTCTCCATGTCCTCATCTCTGCCTCCATCTCTGGTGTCACTGCTTCTCTGGATAGGGCCTCACAGTACTCTTGTGCTCTTTTTCCTTGATGGCCTTAGGGTCCTCTGCTCCCAGACTTTAAGATTAACTACTACCCCCTTTTTGTTACAAAACTCCTACTTTTACAATTGTGACCGTCATAATTATGATATGCTGTATCTTTTCTTATATCTCAAATGCTTGGAACATTGTGAACATTAACTCCTATGCTTAGTAATTGGAAGGTTAAAAACACATGCTAAAGGAATGTTAATTGGACGATTTCTTTGTGGAGAGAAGGCTATGTCAGGTAGACATAACCAAACAACCAGGGAAGAATAATGTAAGAGCAGGAAGGTGAGTTATTAAAAACATAAAAGAACTGGAAGTCCTTTGGAAAGAGGATATGTGGATCTCATAGCCAGAGTTTGGATGAAGAGATAGATATGCTTTTCAAGTGTGGACATTTGAAAAAAAGGGAAGAGGGTGACTATAGGGAGAAAAATAGTGATATAGACAAGCACTTGTTTTTTCTTAAATTTTTAAGTAGAGAAATAGGCATGGTTGCTGAGCATAGAACTTGCCCAGAGAAATTTTCCTACAGTGACAAGAGCACAGATCAGAAAACTGTTAGTGACAGAAACCAGTGGGAAGTGGTGGTTTAGAACAGTTTTCCTCTTCCTTTCTCTCTTACAGTATATGGTTGTTATGATCTGCTACAGTGGAGTCTGCCTGCTCCTGAATGTCCACCAATCAGTGTTAGCCCTGAGTAAATTTATTGTGGCTTTTAAAAATATATAAACTGCCTCCTCGGAATGAGCTTGTACTGTGAGAAGAAAGCACATGTCTTCACTTGCCTGAGTGCTGTTCCTTCTTTTAGCCTTCAGGCTTACCCTTACTTGAACCACAAGCTTTTCCCCATCATGTTGTTTCATAATTAAGTCACTTCTGACTCGCAGCAACCATATTCACCAGGTTTTCCTACTCCAAATCTTTTCTTGAATCCTAGCTCTTCGGAGTACTAGCTGGATATTCACTTCATCTTTCTGGACCTCAATTTCTTCATGTGTGAAAATGAGAGGGGAGTGATCTACTTTGTTGGCATAGTTAAATTAAGGAGTAGAGTTAATGTTAATAAGTACTTAAAAAGTGATATTAATCACAAAACAACGGAAGATAACTGAATAGATTATTCTCCATCTAGAAGGTGTGCCTTGAAGACAGTCGTCCTGGAGAGGTGGAGCTGCAGGCTGTCTCGTTGCTGTGCCAGGGCAATAAATGAGGCTGGGCTTTGTTGTGTATGGGCTGCTGGGTCTTAGTTTGGGCCCTCCACTGTCTGAAGAGGAAGAAATAGGGTGGTGTATTTCTGGACACATAACTTCTTTTTCTCCTACTTAGCTTCCTATGACATCCTAATTTTCCCTTGTTACTTTCCTGACAGGTGGCGGTGAAAAACAATATTGATGTCTTCTACTTCAGCTGCCTCATCCCTCTCAATGTGCTTTTTGTCGAAGATGGCAAAATGGGTAAGCATGTTCTCTTGTCTTGCCAAATACACCTCTGCCCTTCTTGTGAATGTCAGGCAGAACATAGCCCCAAAGGTGCAAGTTAGTTTGAAGCATATGGGGTAAGGATATTTGAAAGCTCTAACAATCATAGTTGTGCTTGCTCTGCTGTCGGTCTTTCATATGGAATGCCCATTATCTAAGTAATCCAGCCACCCCAGAATACAGAGCAAGACTGTAAGCATCTGGTGATAGGTGGAGTTGAATCTCACGTTTATTAGCTGTGTGACCAGTGCCAAGATGTTTTATCTTTTCTGAGTTTCCACTTCCAAGTTTGCAAAGCAGGGATACCTTTTATAATAACCTAATGAATTAATGCTTGTAAAATTTGCACTTAACCCTACGTTAAGTTCTTTGTCTCGTGTTCAGTAATTTATAGTAAGCCATTAGTACTTCTTTTGTGGTTAGAGTAAGTCCCAATGCATAGTAGCAGGTATAGTGTTTCCAAAAGGGACTGGTGGATTTAAATTGCCAGCCTTGCAATTAACCTACAGTGCCACACCAGGGCACTTAAATTATATTATAACTTAATTGATCTGATTGGGTTGACAAGACAGTTGTAATTATTAGTATAGGGTAAAGATTTTAAGGCTTAAGAGGTTATATAAGACTTCCTCAAAGTTACTCGAACAGGAAGACAGTGGAGCCAAAACTGAAACCTTAGATGGTCTGACTCCTGAACTCTTGCCACCAATCTCAGTAGCACCAATGTGTGGTTAATTAACCTGAAGTGTAGCACCTCTGCTTAGTTATATTGGCTCCAGTCCCGGACACGTCTGGCTGTAATGCAGGGAGCCAGCACCTCAAAGGGGAAATATGGCACAGGCATCAGAAACCAGAAATCTGACAGATGGTGCACATCCTTTCTCCCCTTCTGCTTCCGCTCTGCATACAGAACGTCAGGTCTTCCTTGCAACGTGGAAGGATATTCCCAATGAAAATGAACTTCAGTTTCAGATTAAGGAGTGTCATTTAAATGCTGGTGAGTAATGACTCTAAATTTCACTTCATCATAGCAAAGCAAATTAGATATGTGAAATTTTATCTTTGCTTTTTTTATCTGCTTGTTTCCACATCTATCATGTTTCTAGTGGTTATAAAGGTAGATACCTCACTGTGCACACTTGTCTTTAAAGATTCAGGGGTGTATGAATGTAGGTATTCGATTACTTATAAGCTAACAGATTTAGGAAACAAACTAGAAGGGATTCATCTGCCCAGTTCTTCAGTAGGTAAAGATGTGTTAGTCATGTTTCTTGAACACCCTAAGCATCATGTACTTGAAGTGACTCTTGAACAGGATGTGTATGCTACTAAGAATGGAACGAATCACTTCTTTATATTGGCCTTCAGTATTGGAATGCTATATTTAGAATCCTGTGTTTATAGTTAAATGAGAATGCATGGTTAGTGATTAAAGCCTGGTTGGTAACCTTTTTCATTCAACCTTTTTCATTTCATTTATGCCAGCTTTCGTATGATATAATCTCTTGAATCACAAGTGAAAAGCCTTAGACCCTTTGTAGTTAATATAATTAGTATAATAGAACATAAAAGAGGTAGCCCAACAGAGAAACAATAGCAGCTGTCAGTCCTCAAGACTTGTGTTTACTGAGATGTTCTTCATGAGGAAGGAACCCTTCATCTGTTGAGTCCTGCCTTTGTCCCAATCCTCTTTGTTGAGGTTAATACACAGCTGTATGAGTTTGGATGAAAGGGCGTCATGGTGCCTGGTCAGTTCTGCTGTCTTTCTCTGCTCATGGTTTCCTCGGAACATGACTGTCTTTCCTAGAGGGTTTTAACATGCTGCCAGTCTCCTGTTGCAGCCAGAGCCTAATACTGGAAACGGGGAGGAAATATAGTAATTCGGAAAGAAAAAGAGCACCACTGTCTTCTCATTTCAACTACTTTTGCATTTAACTTTTGTTTGTTGTGCTTCATGATGTATTTATCTTATTTGTTTGGACAAATCTTCTCTTGTAAATCTTTCCAGTAGGACTTTGGAAACCCAGTTAGATAGTAAGCAGCTTCCTCCTGCGAAACCTCCTTTTAATGTGATGAACATAAAAGCCCTTTCTGAAATTTTCTGCTTATTGTTGAGTTGACTCACAGTGATCCTATATAGAGTTCAGCTGGTGAGCTTGAACTGCTGACCTTGTAGTTCAAACCAACTTTGCAGTTCAGCACATTAACCCACAGTGCCACACCAAGACAGCCCTGCTTATATTATACTCTCAAAAATGACAGGCAGACAGACTGGCATCTTTGAGTGTAGAAATTTCCGGTGGATGTTTTCCTAAGAGTCAGAGAGGGTTTAAGGAGAGAAGCTTCTGTAATTTCTGTAGCCAGTTAGTTAATTCTGCTCAAGAATAACACATATCTGTCTTTTTAAACATATTCTTAATCTAGATTTTTTTATCCTGACTGATGATGTATCTGTACTTCACAAAACAATTATACTCAAATTGAGCCCTGTGTGTGTGCCATCCTTTAGGTAGAGGCAGTGTTGTCTGTCTTTCTCATAGAAGCTCATTGGTCAGTTAAAGGAGACTGATGACTAAGGGAGGTTGAGCAGTTTTCCACTGCACAAGTCCATCTTCCAGGAACCATCCTGTGCAGAACCCACAGTGGCTAAGGATGAGAGCTAGAGGAAATCCTATAGAGAAATGGCCTCTGCACCCAGCTGAGAAAAGAGGAGGCCCCTGGTTATAGTCACTCTTACAGTAGTAGGTCTAATGGCAGCAGCTCTATTTGTTGTTGTTGTTGTTGTTGTTATTAAGTGCTGTCTACTCGGTTACAACCCATAGTGACCTGGTATAGGGTTTTCGAGGAGAGGCTGATGAGTTTCAACCACTGACCTTGCAGTTCAAACAGACCTTGCAGTTGAGTGTTTATTCTACAGTGCCAAACCAGGACTCTAGCAACTTTATAGTATGTTCTTAAGAATATTGTCCCTCAAAAGATGGGGTGGGGAATATGGTGCAAGGCTAACTAAATTGAAAAACTGTACTATAGTTTGTCTCTTGTAGGAGTAGTCATCATGCATGACACACTAAAACTCTGAGATGTTCTACATTGAAGAAACTGGTTTAACTCAGTGTGGGCTGACTTTATTTGACCATGATATTTTAAAATGCATGATGTTTATGAATATCTGTGGAACACCAATGTACCTTAAACATAATCTGGGAAATGCTGGCCTAGAGAGAACAGAGAAAGACAAGAGTCCTTGGAAAGCAAGTTTGCAGAGTTGGTTTCAGTAGTCTGGTATGAAAGACACAGGCTTTTTGAAAAAATGGATGTTTTGGTGACTGAGGGCTTTAGTCTGGCCTTCAAAGTAATAGAAAAACTATATCCTTCAGCTTCCAGATTAAAGTTCAGAACCCTTATCGCACCTAATTGTGTATTTGTGAGCTTACCAGAGAACAATCTGACCTTCCTTCCAATAGACTAAGTTCCTTTGATGTAACCTTTCAACAGTTTCTCAGGCCAAATCTAGTTTTGTTGTTGTTGTTGTTGTTGTTTTTTACTTTTATGTGCATTTTATTTTAAGTTAAATTTACTCCCGAGCCATAAGTTTTTGTTTCTTCAGTTTCTTCTGAGATATCTTTTTCTTCTGGGCAACCTCCTCTTCTGGTTGGTTTAGGAACAATTTGTTCCTTTTCAGTGAGGATCATCTCAATATGGCAGGGGGAGCTCATGTAGGGGTTGATCCGACCATGAGCTATGTAAGTTCGGCATCTTGGGAGCTTTGTTGACCTGGATATGCTCAATGACCAGAGAATCCACATCTAAACCCTTAAGTTCAGCACTGCTCTCTGCATTTTGAAGCATGTGCAGCAAAAAATCAGCACTCTTTTTGGGCCACCGACCCTGTGTCCAACCCCACTGTTTGGCCTGGGCACACCTACCAACGCCACCATTGTAACGTCGGAATGGTACACATTGCTTCTGCAAAGTGACATCTTTAAGATACTTGGTGGCTTTCCGGATATGCATACCCTTGATGGCCTGGGCAGTCTCACGGGCGTTCTTAAAATGGACCCAGAGATTTGAACCTCTGGATTTGCATGATTTTATGGGGTTTTCTGGGTCAAGTGAGTAGCGAACCATTTTGTGAGATTACCTCGGGCCGCTTACAGGAAAAGCCAGGCCAAATCTAGTTTTGACCAATTCTGCCATGGCCTCATGCCCAAAGCCATCATGTTCTCACACTAAATCACTGCTAATCTTGTAAATGAAACCCTTCCTTTGACTCTATCCCAAGGTCTGGAGTACCCTGGCCTTTTCATTTCCTTCCAGTCTTGAGAGCTTTATTAGCGTAAGCATTTTCTGTTTTGGTGCTTTCTGATTCAACACCCCAGGTCTAGCTGAGAGCTAAAAATACCAGCCTTTCCAGCTGATCTGCCCTAATCACAACAGCACCAACACTTTAAATAGCTTTTCTGTGACAGCATAGACGTTTGACAGATGGAACTAATACTCTGAGGGGTACAGGAAATCACTGCCTTACAGGACTTACCAACCTAGTGTTGATCTTTGGTTTTGCTCTGCCATCATCTCTGGAGAATAAAATAGAATGAAGTTCTCTTCCCAAGTCTTAACAATTAATCATGTTTAAATGGAAAGGTATATGATAGGGTTGGTGCTGCTAATTGCGTAAATGCTAGAAAATGTTAGATCAGAAAGGCACTAGTGCAGTGGCTTCCCTGCTTCCTAGCGCTGATCATCTTCACACGGGGATCAAGAGATCTGTGTGAATTTGTTTAGCATCATATCATTCATTACTGCTGCATTTGGGGTTAGTGTATGTATCTGAGACCACTGTTTTAATGTACGAGAAGTACTTAATCTCCAACCAGATCCAGAAAGAAGTCTTTGGAAAGTAGTTCTACTAACCTCTTTTTCTAAATTGAGTGTTATTGCACTCTGAAAAGCTCAGAGAGAGGCTGTATTTATTTTTACTAGTTAGGCACTGTTATTATTGTTGAGTGCTGTCAAGTTGGTTCCAACTTACAGTGACCCTCCCTGTATAGCGTTTCCAAGGATCCACTGGTAAATTTGAACTGCCAACCTTGTAGTTGAAACCAACCTTTTGGTCCAGTGTGTATCCTACAGTGCCACACCAGAACTCCTTCCCAGGGGTTAGGGATATAAAAAGAAAAAACAAAGCAAAAATGATATATTGTCAAAAAATATATCGTAGTCTGACTTCCATTTCTAGTCTTAACTACATTTGGCAAAGTCTGACTGTCTTGCAATCTGTAAATTAAGTAGAACCTATAAATCGTCAGTGCAGAGTTGATAGCTAAGGTTGATAAGGCTCGATTTCATACGTACTTATATTACAGAACCCTCCCTGCATTTAGTCTTCTGATAGAATCACAGCACAATCATTCAGTAGGAGCAGAAGTAATTCCTCGCCAGTGCTTCCAGATATATTCAAATTGCATCCATTCCGCTTGCTTCTACCTGGCTGTTTGCCACAGTTTTTAATTCTGGAAGGAGTGAGCGAGTGCTTGTGTGTGTTTCTGTTTCCTTTCTCTTTCAGAGGTAGTGAAATCATGAGACGTCTGTAGGAATCTGGGCCTAGCTTAGTAAATACAGTTTAGAATGTGTTTGTACTACTGCAACAGGTAGCTCTTCGACAAAGACTCTGACTCTTCAACAAAGAATTTTTAGGCCATTTTAATAATAGTGCTACCTTAAGCATATGGCCTATAAGATAAGCACTGGACTGCTAACCACAAGTTTGGTGGTTCAAACCCACCAGATGCTCCTCGGAAACCCTACAGGGTCATTATGAGTCCGAACCAACTCAACAGCACTTAACAATAGTCAAAGGATTAGTGAACCACCTTGGACTGGTGTTGCTTAGCAACCCAGCCTAAGCTGTATGGGCCTATCATCTTGAGAACCAAGGTGACAGCCAGGACTGACTGACGCCCACTCCCACCCCTAAGAAGGTGATTTTAAAAGCATATTGAGGTCCTCTCCCCTGGCAGTACTGCATGTAGCTACCCTGAGATATACTTATGCTCTTCAGATAGAGCCAGTTCGAACTTAAGTTATAACTTCTCAACTTGGTGTGAGTAAAATTCTAGAGATAGAAGAGGGAAAGTGAGATAATAGCAAAATGGTGAAAGTGTTTAATGGGGTTTTACTGCCTTCTCCCCTGAGCTGTGTCACTGGTTTGAATTTGGGAGAAAGACATCAGGCAAGAGCTACCTCCAAAATTACCTGCATCTATGAAGATGGTGCTTAGTACCTGTTATCTCCAGGACCTGACTCAGAGATTTATGCACAGATATTGATGACACATACCTATTGTGTCCCAGATACTGTAGTAAGCACAGTGATGAAAACTCCAAGAGCCCTGTGCTCAGAGAGCGTACCATCTAGGAAATTTAGCAAGATCATCCATCATGGCAGCCTTTCCTAGAGAGCAAGTAGTATACAACAGATTTTTATGCAGGGCGAATTCCATTCCTAAAGTAGACATGAGTAATTTGAATTCTCATCAGAAATTAACATGATAAGTTATCCGCAAAGAAGCAATCTGTAGCCTTGCTTTTCTTGAAGTTTCCCTTTCTCTGATGCTGTGACAGCTTTCATATTAGCAGTAAAAGAGCAAGGAGAGAGATACTAGCCTTTAGTTCTGGCATGTCATGCGTCCTTCATGCTGTCATCAAGCGGATGAGCCAAAACACCAAATCTCTTCATTCTTGCCCTTAGTGGATGACTGCCAAAGTCTCCACTCTGACCACCAGCAACAGTTGGGGCTCCAGGGTCTTACAACAGTCACTTGTTGCACAACTTCACTCTTTTTCAGAGTTTCTTTGTTACGACAGGTTGTTTTATTATCAATTTGGAGGCATGGTATTCCCTAAAGCATAAGAAATCATTTGTTAGGTTTGTTTTTTTTCCCATGTTTTATTGTGAATTATATGATAATTTTACATGAGAGAACTTTAGTTTTGCATTCATTCCACTGTATATCATTTCATTGCCATGGTTCCAATCCCCTCCATGCATCATCAAC